CCGTGTTGACTTTACGACTCTAAACCAAATTTACACAATACTATTAAAAAATATTTACCAGAGGTCAGTGTAACTCCTAAGTATTATTCTGCCAGTACTTCTGCTTCCTTTCGATTCAATTTCCATTTTTCATATTTTGAATGTGTAGAGATTAGTGACCGTTAATCGATATCTGAATAACTATCGATTAACGGTCACTAATCTCTACACATTTCTACCCGAGAAGAACGAAGAATATGGGATTCAATGGACAAATTTCAACTACATTTGGACACACAGCTAAAAGTATTCTGAAGGACATCGCCAACAATGAGAAGAAACTCGCATCGGCCATCAATCAGAAAACATTTTTTCTGAAATTTCCTACTCACATCAAGAACAATTTCAACTTCACAAATTCCACACTAACACAGCCAAACACTAGAATTGACGGCATACATAAAACCACAATAAATTTCAAACGAAACATTTTAAACATAGAAATCACCACGAGCATCAAAAACATCAAGTCATTAACACAAAAATTACACCGATTAAAACTCAGTGCCGCCAACATAATACCTACAGACATTTTAAAAGAATTTTACACACATCAAAAAGATGCATACAACGTCCACTTTGACCAAATTAAAAATAAACACATCAAAAAATTAAAAAACTTAATCAACAAACAAACACCTTCTAACACAAACAAATGGTTCCTAAACCTAACCAAAACTAACATTCCTCCAGAAATCCAGAACTTCCTGTCACTTGGTCCCAAACATTCCATTCCTTACAACAAAACAGATTTTCCAACAGCAAAATTAATTACGGATGTAGTCTATGCAATTCAAAAATCCACAAAAAAAGAGGAAGAAAAAGACATAACACGCTCAAAATGCATTAACATAATAACAAATCACTTACAACACCTCACTACAAATCAACACAACCTATCCCAACAAACATATACCAAAATCACACCCGACCGCATCTCACGATATCTGAATAACCATATTTTGAATATTTACCTCCTTTCAAGGTATTGAAGAAAATTAGTGTATTATTGGACCTTCTTCCTACCATTTTAAACAAGATAAAATTTCTATTTATCTATCGAAGAACTATCTATAATATTTATGAAAGGTATTGGTTAAGATAAAAAAGTCAGTGTCACGAGCGGGATTCGAACCCACGACCTTCGGCTAAATACGCCGCTGCTCTACCACTTGAGCTATCGTGATTTCGATCCACTCGAACACTAACTTCCCTTCTCAACCCTAGCTTTTGAATTTTTCCTCAATGGTAGAGTAGCGGCGTATCTAGCCGAAGGTCGTGGGTTCGAATCCCGCTCGTGACACTGACTTTTTTATCTCAACCAAAACCTTATTAAATATTAATTAATTGAAAAATGTTAATTGGTCAATCGGACCACGAGCTGTACTGGATTATCTACAATTTAACAAAACCTAGATTGCTAAGCTATCGATAAATAATTTTCCACAGATGAAGCAAAACTTCCGTGTCCGATTCAAATTAAATTTTTCGAAAGGAAAGATATTTTCTGATGCTAATGGAATGGAATAAAGAGAATCCTTTTGTTTAATAGATAAGTCGATTTTACTTCATTGCCCTTTATCCCTGGAGGTTTACAAGCTCGAGCTACCGATTTTGAATAAGTTAAAAGTCTAGAGCGGGTAACAATTTTTAAGCCTCATCCGGTCTTTGTCTGTAGGAGGGAGGTGCTTAAAGCTCCATCGATCTCCTAAGCTGTGTCATGCCTAGACGCCATTTTTTTTTTTTTTTAATAATGACGGAGCTCTAATTTTAAACTTTGATGATAATACAAAAAAAACTTTCGCTAATTTTCCTTTAATAAGCTGAGCTTTGAGTAATTTAAAACGGGCTGTGTTGTTTTCAATCGGGTCCTGGGACAATAAAACTGGTTTGGGCATTAGCCGGCATTTCATCCGTTCATGGCCCATTCCCAGCCCCCTTCAGAAAAACGAGTGCCAAATATCCCCGGGACCGTTTTAACCCAACTCCGGATGACAATATTTATGACACGCGATACATGTAAATCCAAATCGGATAATCATTTCAAATTGTTTCCCTTTAGACCGGCCTTGAAACTTTACAATCGAGCTTCCATTATATACACATTTGCCTCAACTCGTGGACTTGGTCCGTTTCAAACCCCGATATTAAACAAACAAAAAATATTCAGCCTAATTTAATTTTCAATGTTTACAACAATAGAGGGAAAGATAGCAAATTGGCCTTTCTGGTTGGTTTCCCCTCCCAGGGGTCATTGTTTGAAAGCTGTCTAACCAACGGGCAGAAGATAAGATACACTTTGTCCTCACTTCAACCGAACTTCCTAGCTTTACAACTTGGCGATTTCTACGGCCAAACTCCGGTAGCCACTCCAGAAAATTATTATTAAAACGTCCAGAATAAGCTAAATCATCAATTTTGCAATATGGGATGCAAAATTGTACTATTTCAACACCACCTATTTAAAAATGGACATAATCGATTAAATTATTGTGTAAAATATAAAATTCAGTAGCCCAAACAGACCGGAAGTAACTAAAACAGCAACAATTAACTGCATCTGCAAATCAAAATACCAAGAGTACACCCTTGTACATGAATGATTAAATACTCATTACTCTCCGACTAATAGCAGGATATTAGCATCACTAAAATGTCAGATAAAAATAAGCCTAACCACTTACACCCCCAAAGTGAGGTACTATCGCCAAGTGAGTGGTTTCTAATAGTATAAGATCTATTACCAGAGCTTTAACTAATAGGTGGCTCAGATGACCTGGTAAGAATCATAATTGGAAAATCTGATGAAATTCTTTCAAATTACATTCAATACTCCTTAAACATTGTAGAAAGATGTTGTGAGAAACTGGGTTTAAATCCTAAGATATATCTTTCATACTCTTTGCAAGAAGAAAGAAACTAAACTTATAAGCACCTATTGTAAAAGATTAATGCTGTTTTCCCTCTCGGGTCGCAATGTCATTTAACATTGAGGTCCTTTAGCGCGCGCACCTGGCACATAGGCCTTATCACACGTTTAGGTTCTCAAGTTAGGAGCGACTCACCTCCGCGCTCGGAAAATCTGCTTAAACCGTGAGGTTCGGTGTAGAAGCCCACATCATCCCGTCCGTCGACTTCTATTGCTTGCCCCTTCCGAGGGGGTGGGTTAACCAAGTCTCTCGCGCACTCCCTAGATAGAGGCGACAACTCTCTTTCTGGGTGTTGGGTCTCCGCTAGCGTCGAAACCTTCGGATGCGCTCCGGCCGCGGTTTCGATTTTAATTGAATCTCTAACCACCAGGAGACCAAGCCTTCGGTAAAGGTAAACGACCACCACAGAAAATCAACAGTCCCCGTCCACCATCTCTCTCGCATTCGAGGGACCACGTCAGTGTAGTCATAGCTCACGAAGGCAGTCCGATCCTTCCGATTCCCGCGAGGTCGGGAGGTAATTCGGAGGCCATGCGCAAGTACTACGGTCCACGGCCAAACGTGAAACACAACCTTTTCTTTAGGTACCCGCTAGGGGTCTCACCACTCAGCCATTGCGAGTCCTTACCCATGCAGCTGGGCCTAAACTTAAACGAAAATATGCTGCCCCGCAGTTCAGATGGTTATGCACCCTCCCCCGTGCATAACCATCTGAAATGAAAAAGGTTATACAGCATAAACTGAGGAAACCCTAGGATGACGTATTGGGCATACCCGTGAACACTTATAGAGTTCGGTGGCCAAAAACACTAAGATGATCAGAAAATCTACAATAGTGGCATGCCTTTGGTGGAGAAAACACAGGCAACGTTCGGCATAATGCCAAAGCTCTACTGTGCATTGGGCAGTATTAAGCAGAAAAAAATGAGGTAATAAACCCCAGGATGTCGTATTGGTTTACACCACAATGGTCAGACTCCTTGGTCAAATATGGAACTCTTACTATGATGGGCAAAAAAACCGAACATGTTCTTCACTACTCACTCTCACCTTCCACCCTAATGAACTTTTGTATAAACACCCAACAGACTCCCGAGGTATAACCAAATAAAGCCATATCAAAGGGTTTAGTAGAGTATTAAAATAAACGAGCTATGTTTCATAACAAAATGAGAGGAAAATTCAACTTTGACCCTTCAAAGTAGTCATAATTAATTAAGAACTTTGGAAGAAAGGTAGCACCAACTGGCCCTACAAAATAGTACACAGATGAAACAAAACTGGAACGGTGTGCAAGGGAAGGGGTAAAAGAAAAGATCTACACCCAGGCCACAGCTCCTTGCACTAACCCCAACAATTTTCCAAACTGAAGTCCATGCAAAAGAACTCCGTACACAGAAATTAATGAAGAAAAATATAAAAAGTAAATAAAGGACAGAAAGAAAGCTATAAAGGCACTAAAGACGTATGTTTCAGCATGAAACATGTCTGGGAGGGTGTAAATTGCCTAATGGCACTAGGAAAACACAAAAAAATTAGTTTGAAGTGTCTTCTGGGACATGAAGGTTCAGACGGAAATAAGCAAGCTGACCAACTAACTAGCCAATAAAGAACCACAGCTGGTGCACACCAAAGTGTGCTGCACCAAAAACACCAGGTATGAGGCAAGCTAAGAGATTTATAAACCGAAAGTGTTCCTCTCACTCAGCAGGAAAGATTTTAGAAAAATACACCTCAAAATCGGTTACTACCCTCTTAACAACAACTGAGAGGACTAAGATAGGAGAAACCAAAGACATTGATGCATCCTTCCTGAATGTGAAGCAGAAAAACTAAATCCATAATAAAAGGTTAATCCTTAATTTAGTCTTAGTTCAAACAGATGTGAGTTGATTTAGGTAAATAGGCAGCGCTCAGGAGTACCTGAGCATACCAGAAGATCCATTCGGTCAGCTATGATTGTGTTTATATTAATTTTCGTTGTTCATTCACTTATTTGATTGTATTAAATGTCTGTGTAGGATTTTTTACCTGGTAGTCCATGTAATTTCCGTAGCCCATGTGGTTGCAAGTGCAAGCGCAGTGTTGTATGTGATGCCGGAGGTCCATGTCCAACCGCCATTGAGGCGGTGGGGGCGGCAGAGGTGGCACCTCTTCCCGCCACTCATGTGTCATCACTCAGGGCCGCTCCATCTGAAAAAAAAAAGACGGGCAAGATATTAAATGTAATCAACTGGAAACGCGGCATTCCCGGACGGGTCGGGCTGACGCGGAGGCCGGTCGGGATCGTTACCCCCACGGGACTCCGATCATCCGGTAAATAAGTTTTTGAGTGAATCCAATTTCAATCAACGGCCGGATGAGAAATTTCGAGATTGCATTCCACCCGGGGAAAAGCTGCGGTGTCGAAAACTGTAGTTAAACCCACTATTAGACTCATAAAGTATTATATCCTACGTGTCTTTGATCTCGTTAAATCCTGATATGTTTTTTACAGTGCATACTTCGACGCAACAAGTAAAACAAATACTAATTACATATAAACAATATTAATACTAGCGTGAAAGTTTGAACATCAACCATCCAGTGAAACATCAATACAAAAAAATGATGAGAGAGATGTTCTCAATCTTAATAGACGGATGCCAAGTGTGGTTGTCGCGGGGCCACCGACCTTTCAGTCTTCTGTTATGATTATTAGGTAATATAGTGGACGACAGGTTTTTGACGAAAGGGTTCGGATGTTGGGTTAGTTTGGAATGGAAAGTTTTGTATCTGAATTGGGCTAGTTCAGTGATAAGAGGAACATTTAGGTCTGTATGGATGGTATGATTGGAAACATAGAAAAGGGCATTGACTATTGTTCTGAGAATTTTAGATTGAAGGGGTTGGATTAGATTGAAATTGAAACGTTTTGAAGACTTGTAAGTTCAATTCCGTATGTTCAAATGTGGGCCAAGAGTTCAAGATAAAGTTTTCTTTTGTTTGTCAGTGAGAGTTTAGATCGTCAGTCCAGTAGTCGGTTTAGCAAAATCGTATTTTACAGTCTGTGCGCTTCAGTCGTTTCCATGTTAGTCGTTTGTCCATTTATTATTATTCTTTTTTTTACAACTGCATTCATTCCATGCAACAAGTAAACAAATATATGTACATATTAACAGTAACCGTGAACAGCAACCATTCAGTGATGGAAGCCGTTATAACATCAAGATGAGTGGGATGTGCTCCATCCTAGGAGACCGATGCCAAGTAGTGAGGTTTTTGCGGAACCACCGACGTTTCAGTCTCCTGTGAAAATTGTTAGGTAAAATGTTGGAAAATAGGTTTTTGACGAAAGGGTTCGGATGGTGGGATAGTTTGGAATGGAACCTTTTGTAGCTGGATTGGGCAAGATAAGTAACAAGAGTAAGTGTATGGATAATGTGATTGGCAACATAGAAAATTGACTAAGCATTGACTATTGTTCTGAAGATTTTAAATTGGAGGGATTGGATTGGTTAAGGTCGGAACGCTTGGCAGTCCCGTAGAGTTCATGTCTGAATGTCCAAATGGGGTCAGGATGGCAATGTAAAATTTTCTTTTGTTTGTCAATGAGAGTTTTACATGGCCTGTCGAATCGATTTCGCATGATAAATCGTATGTTATAGTCTGTCCCCTTGTGGGGAGGGTCCATGTCAGTCGTTTGTCCAGGTATCGTACATGGTTTGCAACAGGGATGAGAACGTTGTTGAGGTATACTTTGTGAGGTCATCTTGTTTTGGGTGAATGTTTGTTGATTTGGTTTCGTTGATCTTGATTCTCCACGTCAGAGACAGCATTCTAGGATAGGTAAGTGATTTTGGAAATAGCGGGAAACTGTGGCAGGATCTTTATCAAGAGATTACGGTATAATCGGCAAAGGTGAGGGTGATAGTGTTAGATTTAGTAGGTAGGTCGGAGTTATAAATTCGGCAAAAGAAAGAAGCAAACACGCTGCCCTGGGATAATATAAGTTTTTTGTGGGAATCTACGGTTACCACCGTACCCGTTAGGTGTCACTACCAGCTCTGGGATGGTCTCGTCCTCCACTCTGCAGCGAATCAGAGCAGAACCAGTGCGTATATAAGCACGGGCACTGTCCCACTGGCTTCAGACTCGTCAACCCGACGAGTTCTCACTCATAACCACAGGCCACAACTCGCTATCTCAACATAGCCGACGTGGCAACAGGCAAACCGCTGCACTTTGCCAACTGCTGCACCAGAGTCCCTTCAAACGATGTACAGTCAGCCAACTCACGAACCCGGACCTCAGCCAACTTATCCCTCTACCAACAGGCACACCACTCGGTTCCGACCTCCATGCATCGTCTCAACGCTACGACTCCAGACAACACCGGCCCTTGTCAGGGCCATCAAAAACTCCCGGTCACTGAAGTTTAAAAAACACTAAATCCTCATTCTATTAATCCAACAGTTTTCCTGTGAACCTCACACCTTGTTTGAAGAACTTATGGCAGAGAGATTACATCAGAGATGGAACGAGTGTGGTCTTATCAGTGTCAACGAGTGTGTAACACCCAATATCAAGTCAGATACCATTTATGTCAGTTAAGTAGTTGCCTTCTATAGTTATAAAATGGAAAAATATTCGACTAAAGGAGAATATCTCTGCAATAAAGCATGATCATACAAATCATACTGTTAGTAAAATTTTGAAAACTTAAATTTTCCTTGATGTTGGATTAAAGGAAAGTTGGCCTTGTTTATCAGAAATAGTTTAAAAAATTTGATGGTCATTCTTTTCTGGCATGTAATCAATATAACATTTTTATGCTTCATAGCTTAATAAACTGAGATTTACTGCCCCTTTTGTTTGAAGACGGAAGTCAGGATGTACCGTCCTGTTTCTAGGATGTTTACGCATTATGTCAAGGTCGGCGGGGGGAGGTGGCTATGTTAGGGCAGCAGGAACAATGGGATAATTACGAGGTAGGGTTGGATAGTAAATCTCGAGTATGAAAGGAGGGATTAAATCTAGATCGGGGGTAGGGGTTGGGACATCCCCTCCTAAGTATTATATATAACCGCTCTTCGCATTCGGGGGTGGCTTGGCGGTGCTTTGTCTAAACCGTCGGATCTTATTTATTTTAATTTATGCATTAACGAGACATTTCTTTTCTTGCATTGCTCACCGGTATTCAAATAAATGTTAAATGTTGTAAAATAAAAAAATTGGTTCGTCTGGGGGAATTTCGGGGGGGGTGAGGATTAAATAATCCTATGCAGGGGGCATTTGTTGTTTGTGTTTGAGAACTGTATTATTTCATTTCCTTTCACTTGTTTTATTGGTTTTTCTTATCTTTTGTTTTATATATTTTTAAAAGCATTTCCAGTTTTAGGAGCTGGAAAACGTTGGAAAAGTTTATGAAATTTTTATAATGCATGAACCCCAAAACCGAACTGACTGTAAACTTAGGCAAGTATGCTACAGTTTTCCAGTCTGAAATCATAGCGATTAAACAATGTGCCAGAGAAATAAAAAGGCTGGAAATACATTCCCGGAAGATAGCCTATTTCTCTGACAGCAAGGCAGCTCGCAGGGCCTTAGCCTCATGCGAGGCGAAAGCAAAGAGTGTTTGGAACTGCATGAAGGTCCTGACGGAAGTCAGTGGCATCAACGGCCTGACCCTGGCATGGGTCCCTGGACATTCGGGGCATAAAGGCAACGAAAAGGTTGACATGTTGGCAAAAAAGGTAGCCACATGGACTCTATGAGCCTAGCAGCCTGCCACAAAAGAGGATACATCTTAAAATGGATCCTTAATGAGTCCAAAACCTGGTGGAAGAATACCACAGGTATGAGGCACGCGAAGATATTCACAATCGCAAAACTTACAAAAGAATTACAGGAAGGCAACCGCAACATAACCAGGTATTCTGGTTCGCTCTTGACAGGGCATTGCCACTTAAGAAAGCACATGCACCGGTTAGGAGTACAGACAGAAGAAGCACTATTCAGATACTACCAGGAAGAGGAGGAGACAGCAGAACACATTTTATGTTTCTGTAAAGGTCTATGTAAGTTGGACCCGTGACAGGGCACTGCCACTTAAGAAGTCACATGCACCGGATAGGAGTACAGACAGAAGAAACATTGTGCAGATACTGCCGGGAAGAAGAGGAGTCCGCAGAACACATTTTATGTTTCTGTGAAGGTCTATGTAAGTTGGACTCTTGACAGGGCACTGCCACTTAAGAAAGCACATGCACCGCTTAGGAGTATAGACAGAAGAAGCACTATTCAGATACTACCAGGAAGAGGAGGTGACAGCAGAACACATTTTATGTTTCTGTGATGGTCTATGTAAGTTGGACTCGTGACAGGCCACTGCCACTTAAGAAGTCACATGCACTGGATACGAGTACAGACAGAAGAAACATTATGCAGATACTGCCGGGAAGAAGAGGAGTCCGCAGAACACATTAAGAAGGCACATGCACCGGATAGGAGTACAGACAGAAGAAGCACTAAGCAGATACTACCAGGAAGAGGAGGGGACAGCAGAACACATTTTATGTTTCTGTGAAGGTCTATGTAGGTGCAGGTTCTTGCAACTAGGACAAGAAAAACCACAGGCAAAATCCTATACCAAGGAACCGCTGGCAAAGCTGTGGAGGGTAGTTATCGTAATAATCTGAAGCTAGCCAGTGAGTTATAATTAACAGGGAGCACAATAGATGTATTTAGGTCGAGGTGCAGTAGGCCTTGAGGCCGCCTCACTTATCCCTATCCCTATCCTTAATGTACTACAAATTTTAAAAAAATTGCAACAATCCAACATATCTGGGATAACAGTGTAATAATATTTTACTTTTAAACGTACACTTGACCTACGGCATCTACTAAGTCACTATTTGAATAATGGACAATTTAATTTTATTGTCGCTTGTTAACAAAGGGAAATGAAAAATTCCTCCAGCGATAAATAAGAAATGTGCCATTATAAGGAATGAATTTGGCAATGGTCAGCTTCCCGTTGTAGGATAATTTGAAGAAAACCATATTTCTCCCCCCCCCCCGGAGCATTCGTTGTATTTGCATTTTACGGCTTTCTCCGTCTTCATATTCAATTAGGGTTTTGCCAGGGGGGTCCAGGCCTGGAGTTTTACTTGTATTGCCTTTTATCGCTTGTTTGCGGCCCGTTCGAGAAA